TGCTTTTCATTACCAAACTTTAATTTTTTAATAGAGTCTTTCTGCATTGACAACTCGCGAATTTGAAGCAAAGAAAGATGCAATGTTATAGAATAGAAATGTTGGCAGACATTGGCTCCACGAGAACTACGGTTACCAATAACACGTCCAAAACTAAAATATTAAAAGAAAAGATTAAAACGGAAACGAAATTACAGTGAAATTTGTTAAAGAAAAAACAAAAACAAAAAATATATCCTGAATCGAGCGACCGCCAAGCAAAAGAAAAGGAAAAGTAGAATCCTCATTAATCAATCATAAAATCCGGCTTAGCACTCGATGCACACATATATAGAGTAGCGTGGAGCAATAGCAACGCCGCCGACGACGACGACACAACCCCAGCAGCAGTGGCTTCCTCGGCACTCGTGAAACTTTTAGCTCTCACTCTCTCTCTCTCTCTCTCTCTCTCTCTCTCTCTCTCTCTCTCTCTCTCTCTCTCTCTCTCTCTCTCTCTCTCTCTCTCTCTCTCTCTCTCTCTCTCTCTCTCTCTCTCTCTTTGTCGTCGATTCTTTATGGCTCATTCGGAGAGCGCCTCTCGTTGAGTCCCGCACCTAACATCCACGCCTGCTGTACGTGTGTGTGTGCGGAAACGCGCGCGCTACCCCCGTGTGCGCTAAAAGCATATCTGTGTCGCGCGCGCTCCGAGAGAACAATGAAGCCAGCGAGCGAAGGGAAGGCCTTAACCTCGAACTATATACGTGCGCGTGTACACAGCCGCGCACTTTCTGATTTTTCGTATGCGCGTAATCTCGAGATTTCGGCGCCAGCGCTGATCCAATTCATAAGCACATCGGTCGCCGCGCAAAACGCAGATCCAGGAGCGCGCGCGATGATATATTCTCCCGCGGGATACGCGCGGGCACGTGAACGACCGAGCGCCAAGTGTGTTTGCACGAGGCGATTGCGGTTAATTACGAGCGCTCGCTGTTTGCCAAAGGGAACGACCCCGCGATTCTCTCGCTGCTTGTGCGAGATAACGAGACGCGCCAGCCGGCCAATTTCTTTCGTCCGACTAGACGTAAAAATTGATATATGCGCCCAGGTCTGAACACGCGAGAGAGAAAGCAAGTCGAGTATAAACGCACACACGAGAGATGAGAGTCAACTCTCAACGCTGGGATTAATTTCCTCGCTCTCGCGCGTGTTTGCACGTCAATCGACGATGGGCGACGCGATTCCCCTCGGGAGCTCGGCTGCTTAAAAAAGAACAGAAAAAAAAAACAGAAAGAAAGAAACGAATTTTTGTACATCATCGACACTTACGCCGCGTTGGGGTCCAGCGGACTCTCGACTGATTGATACGTTCGGCGCGTAGCGGGGCGTTTTCTGCACGAAAGAGAAAGAGAGAGAGAGAGAGAGAGAGAGACTTGACCCATTGTCTCGCTTTAATTTCCGTGCGCCTCTGTGTGTCGCCCAGTAGCATTGTGGGACAACGAGCAATCGAGACTCGCGTCACGCCCCGCAGCAGCGGGACCTCTTTCACTACACGACGTTTCTTCGACGACTCTTGCTTTTGTGCCATTCAGCGTGGCCGCGCAAATCTGCACGCGACGGCAGCCTCAATACGCTCGCGCGACTATTTCACCTCTCTCTCTCTCTCTCTCTCTCTCTCTCTCTCTCTCTCTCTTTTTTATTCGTCGATGCGCACAATGAACGGCGTCGGGGATTATTAGGTGACATTGTTCTACGGTGGGCTTGATGCTGACTTTCCGCGAGGAGAAAGTGCGCCGACTATGTTACTACAATTTCAGTTCGCCATTTCATATCGACGTCGTCCGACTTGTCGGTGCCACGCGCACAGGCATTAAATTAATGGCGAGCCCGTCAGCGTTGACTGGAGAACTTGCCGTTCGCAGCGATTTCGACGTCGAATCATCGCCGGCCACGGCGCGGTCGTGCAAACAAGACAACTTTGGCCATTGCGCAGGGGCCGAAGATCCTTCGCCCATTACACGAGCAGGGCCTCCGAAATTCGTTAAAAGTATCGGGAACACGGAGAGAAAGCGGAGTGGTCGAGGAGTGATTTAAGGTCCGTAACCTCGTTTCCCTCTTTGCCCGTCGACGGTGACCAAGGAGGAAGCGATCCGCACGCAATCGAATAAAGCGAGTCGCGCGCTTTCGGAAACTTGTAAAACAATAAAAGCTTCCGGAGCCCAGACACGCGCGCGGAGCCTGCAATCTGCCAAGCGACGACGCGCACGGCTGCCCGAACAGAAGGGACGCTGCCACGGGGACCGAGTCGCGTATGCGTGGCAGTGTCACGATCACGGAACAATCGAAGCTTGATGAAAAAAAAAAAGAAAGGAGCAATCGCAATTATAAAAAAAAGAAAGAAAAAGAGGAAGAAGACGAAGGAGCGAGGAAAGAGCTGGCAGGCGTGGGCGGGCCGGGAGGAGAGAGGAGCCTCGTCGTCGAAGCGAAAGACAATGAGACGCAATCACACGTGATGGCGTGCCGGCAGTACTTAAGGATAATGAAAAAAGAAATGAAACAGGCATCTCGCACGACGAAGGGCGAGCTCCACGGAGCTGCAGTCGCGCAGGAAGTATTTCTTCCGAGTCGCTGGGCCGAAAAGAGAGCGAGAGCGAGAGAGAGAGAGAGCGGAAATGAATATTTCACCCCGAGAGAGAGAAAGCGCGTTTTGCATGCGAACACCCTCGCGCCTCGGCCGGTCAGTGCCTCAAACTGAGCGGATGACTTTACAGCTGCCACGGCCCTCTCGGAACGCATGACGGACGACTTTATTGCGCTCTCGGCGTGGATATTCTCGGTGCACGCTCGATTATTGCGATGTTCGGCAGAAGCCGAGCGTCGGTCTGTCGCTTGCAGCGCGGCTCCTGGCTCCACTGTAGCATCAAACAAACGGCGGAGCGCCGGGTCGAAACCCCATCGCGCTGTTTGCCGAAGCATCTCTACAGGGCAAACAGACCGGCCTCGACTTCCGCCTTTGGAAAAACGCAGACAACGCGGGACGCGTATGTGGAGCAGAGCCACCGCCACCCCGTCAAGTACGGCCGGCATGCGCGCGTGTGTATAGCTAACCTATACGAAAACCAAACGGTAATTCGAGCAGCGGCAGCTTTCGTATGCCCGTAGGGAGACGACGGAGCTGCGCCGCGCGCGTACGTGCAGTGGCTCATCCGATTCCCGTGGGACGCGCGGACGTGTACGCGGGTGCACGCGATGCGCCCGTGCTCTCCCTGCGCCGCGCGCTGATATCCGCGTGCGCACGAACGTCGTGCTCTCGCGCGCGGCCGAGCGAGTGAGTCCGATGCTGTCCTCGTTTGCTTGCCGCACGGCCGCTGCGCCTAAACATCTCTCGTCGCACCTGCACTTGATTTTGTGGAACTTGGCGAAACGAATGCCAAGCCCTCGCGTTCGTTTTCCGTTTCAAGCTTCACTAATAACAAAAACGAGACAGTCTGGTCAAAATTATTTACAGGTCCCGTAGCTTTGCTGCACGCAGGCACGGACTAGGAAGGGCAGTTATGACAAGACGGCATGAGAGAGGGAGGTAACGCCGTGTAATAAGCGTAATGGATATGGCACCCCCGTGCGCTGCTGATTCTCTCTCGACTCCTCCCGCCTTCCCTTTTTTGCGCTTAGAAAAGGGGTAACGCAGCGCGCATGCGGTTGTATATTGAAACGAGGGAAGGTGAAGCTGCGCCTACCATGAAAAACAAACGACAGACTTGCGTGAAAGCAGTATTTTTTTTTTATTGTTGTTGTAGCCTTCGAGGTGTCGCCTGATATACGGAGGTTTTTTAGAAACTCACGCACGCGCGCGCGCACGGTTGAATATTTTTTCACTTCTTCGATTTGCTTTGACTTGTCGAGATAATTTTCTTTTTCTTCATTGTCGTCGCTCGAGATATAACCTCCGCGCCGAATTTCCTCGTCGGGCGTATTTATTTTCATAAAGTCAACGCTAAAATCGCCGTCCATTATGAGAAAAACCAAACATTCATCGCCTCCCGTACGTCACTTGGTACATTTCAACACCTATCAAACTCGCGAGCAATGTGTTCCAATGCACAAACGATGCACAGGAGGCGCTGCTGACAATTAAAAAATGATTTTTTTTATTTATCTTCAACTCTTTATCTCGCGTACTACGAACGAAAATAATATAAGAGAGAGAGAGAGAGAGAGAGAGAGAGAGAGAGAGAGAGAGAGAGAGAGAGAGAGAGAGAGAGAGAGAGAGAGCGAGAAGGCGCCGACTATTTATATTATTGGCCGTGCCCAAGTGTAAACACACATACGGGGATCTTCTCTCCGACACGATGATTTATCGGACGCGCGCGCCGCCGGCGCCCGGAAAATGTGACTTTTTTTCCCTTCTTTTTAGGTTTTATTGCTGGAAAAAATGTATTCGAGATTAACCAAAAAAAAGGAAACTTGGATCCGTTATGACTTGAGTGTGTTCAGTACATACTTCAGAGCTTGTCGGACGGACTTTTAATTTAGTTGGTTGAAATATTTGGCTTATCGATGTTGAAATTTCACTCTACTCGAAACGATTCAACTCGTTCCCGTCAGAAATTTGAATGTCGCGGACTACGAGATGAGATATGGGCAACGAGTCCATCATTTTCGAAATCCCAATCTCGCACAGCGCCCGTCGAAACGAATGTAAAGGGGAGACGCGCAAGAGGCAAAGGAGTGAAGAGAGCAGTGGCGTATTAAGTGCAGCCGTAGATTACCCGTCGCGGTACGGCGCTAAGGCTGAATTTAGATGCGTAACGCTCAAAACGCATCGGGGCAGATCAAAACAGAGCGGCGTCTCGCTCGAGTGGCCTCTCCTCTTCTTGGCCGGATACAAACATCGCGTCAACGCGGCTTTTTAGAAAAATCTCTCCGGGGCCCGAGATGTGTAACGAGGAAGAGATTTATGTGCTGCGCGCGAGGAGGAGGGATTTAACGGTTAATGACGAGAACACACGAGGCTTTGTTATCCATTGCTTTTTCTTATTATTGTGATTATTCTTTTCAAATGGAATTCTTGAGTCATGCAATTGAAGAGTGAGAGAGAAAATTAACGTATAAAGAAAGAGGCCGAGAGTTGCAATTACATATATCTGACACAAATTCGACGATATGTGGAAAAATAATACAATACTCTCGGGTTACAAATACATTAATTCACTTATATATTAAACTTATGTGACTATAAAGTTTTTTCCCGCGTTTTTTCTTTTTTTTTAATACGTTTGTTTACGTGTACGTGGCGAACTAAATTTGGTGTTACAAGGTATACATTTCATTTTTGTATCTACAAGACTAGTGGTGTGTATTTATACATACGTCTTAGCGAAAAAACTGTTAATTATCACTTTGCGTTCACAGCGAAGTCATTTATTGCTATATAATACTAGATTAACATCACTCGAGACAGAGAAAAACAAAGGCTTTCAATATTTTTTTTCGAAAAAATTGCACGATAGCGGTATCACATAATTTTATACAGTTCGGTTAGTACTTTTTTTTCTGTAAGTCATATACGAATGATGATTGCTACTTTTTTTTGTGAGTTTCTGAAGAATCTTTAGCACCGTTTTCATTATAATGAACGATTGTTTTTTTTCTCACATACAACTATCATTCATCTGTTATCCTTATAAAACGCCAAGTATCCGAGATCTTACCACAGACACATTTGGAAATATTCGTATTATAATTCTAAAAAAGAAATTAGCCGTTGTAAGTACAATTTTTGACTATGAAACATTAATTCTTTCGTTTCTCGAAATTAAATGCAAGATCATTGTGTTATTTTCAAACGCGAAAAATGCGCAGCTAAGTTACAAGCATTGACTATTTCCAGTATCCTGCCGATTCACGAATTGGAAGGAGATGTCCTTAGCAGCCGTACGAGTGGGTTGAGTTTGCCTTGCTCAGAGTCGCGATATTCCTTCAACAGCTGCGAGCAAAAAAAATTCATTCGATTCCTTCATAGGGAGGTCATGAATGTCTATAATACCTCGTAGGACATCTCGCAGGATAAAATGGCGGCAGCCTCTGAATTCTCATGGGTGGCTGCTAGGAGGGTTGGAAGGGTGAATCCAGCAAGTTTAGGATCGCCGTAAAAGGGAAAGGATAGCGTGCAAAGCTGCTGTAAGACACTTGGACCTGAGCCGGCTGACTGTAAAACCAACTGTAACAAAGAATTCAGTTTATTCAATAAATGATTGTCTATGCGTGTGGCGTACTTTTGAATAATAAGCTCCTTTGAAATCTCTCAATATCTAATGTCTCTTCTGTCGTGGTACCGAGGTGCTTCTGACCGTCGGACATTTGTTGGGATTTTGCAGATTGAAAAAATTTTAACTCTAGCATTTTGTCGAAGATTTAAGACGCTCTTCGAAATGCCTAAAAGTCTTTGGAAGATTCGTTGCAAGTTAATCTGCTTGATGATTGCGAAACTCAGAAAGCCCGCGAACCTCGTGAAAATGCCAACGAAACTTTCGAGCGAGAGCTCTTGGAGTCAAAAACGTTCGCGAGCGAAAGAAAAAGAAAAAAAAAACCGTTTTTTCTTTCTTGTCTTGTACAACTTCGTGGGAAAAGCGCACAGGTGGAACAAGCGCGTCTTGCAAGAAACACACAACACCTGCGCCTATGACCCGGACGCGCGGGCAAGTGTTGCTGCTTAACCCGCACGTGCGCGGACGTGCATAATGAATTTGCTCGGGATGCGACCATTTCGTACGTTACAATGTCGTTTCCTATCCTCGTGTTTCGGTTCAGCAGTTGCGTCGAAAGATTCTCCCTGACGCGTCCCTTCATTAGCTATCGAAAATGAAATCAGTGCGTCGGCAAAGGGAAATCGTGTTAACGATGAGCTGCAAAGTGCAGCGTGAAAAAATAAAATAAGTAATTAAAAAAAATCGCATTGGCTCATCGCGACGAGGCAAAAGTTGAAAGCTATACAGAGAGCACTTAAAAAGTATGAAAGATTCAACCGAAATTCCTCATCAAACACGCAGCTCGCGCAGTTCAATCGACAAAAATTAATCGAACCCTTATCCGAACAAACGAGCGGTACACGATTCCCTTTTTTTGCCGATTGCTTTTCCATTATTCTCCCGTCGATTTTCATTACAACGACGAGTGACAGACCAAAAAGGTGGCCGACACTTACAACAGCAACAGCAGCAGCAGCAGCAGCAGCAGCACACATAGTCTAGTGAAATAAAAAGGGAACGAGAGAGACGTGTGGCGACGATGCACTCAGACTCGATATAAATATATCTCTACGGCAATATCGATGGGGAGGGTCCTGAGTGTGTTTTGTCTAACGTCTACACGCCTATGTAGAGGCTTTTCACGTATGTATACATCTTTTTCTCATTATTAGACTTCAAAGCTCGTAGCGATCTGTCGATTAAATGTTTACTGCTTTCAATCAACGATACGTACTTTCTAACCCGTAAGCTGCTTGGCTGTGTTACCTTACGAGACATCCATTCTTTCGTAAATTAACAAACAAACGGATATCTAACATGACGTTCGAAAATGTCGATTCAATGCAAATCCTCGATCAAGAATGCGTCACAATCTCAAGGAAATAAAAAGAAAAAATTATTACGGGCCACCGTGCGCCGAAAAATAAATTATGCTATCGCGCGAAAGTAAAAAAATCCACTTCCTACAAGTCCCGGCCGAAGAAATTGTCAAGCGCCGCTCATAATACGTAGCTCGCTCGTGAATATGCATGAAGAAGCCGTCCTCCTTCGGCAAATAAATCTCTTTATTTCGCCGCTGCGCTCGCGCGCCTGGATTAGCATACATTAGCTGGAATTATTGATGAGGTGAGACGGACTCCGCGGAATTCCGTGGTCCGCGTGTGCGTGCGTGCGTGTGCGGGTTACGCAACCTGGTCCTTTTGCGAAATCGCCATCTCCCGACTTTTTCGGGCGGCCCTTATCGCGTCGTCATAACTCATCTACCCGTGCTAATGCGTCTGCATCGGGGACAAAGAGGCTCAGCTCCTTATCGCGTCGGCGGCATTTTTATGCTAAGCAGACACGAGACGATGACGACGCCCGATTTTCCAGTTGGATCTGGCTCTCGGTCCGGCTCGCTTGCCGCGCCTTTATCGCGGCGGTTTTCCGGGCGTCCGCCGCGGTTTCTTTGTTCGCCTCGGCCGGGAGAACCGAGCGATTCGCGCGTGACCCCCGCTCGGCGGAGGACCCGCCGAGTTATCGGACGGAGAGGAGGCGCATCCTTCAAGCCCGCCGACGAATTAATTAAAGGCCGCGCTTATCGGTAGAACGGTCTCGCAGGCGGAATTCCAGAGCGCGGGCCCCGCTCCGATACGGAGCCGCGCTCGGCGCGACATAAATTCGCCACTCTCTCCCTCTCTTATCGCCGCGTTATACCTGATTGTCGGGATTGTTGACGGCAAAGTAGCCAAGCACAACCAACAGCTCGCCCAGCAGCTGGCAGCTGGATATCATGGTCGTCGTCACTTCCGACTCGCGCGACAGTCTCGCGATCAGATGGCTGGCGGTCAGACGCCACTGCAAACTCGTCCCCTCGGCGCCGAGCAGAGTCTGCAAGGAGAGGGGCAAAGGCCAGGCTAATGAATCGAAAATGTCCCAGGCACGTCGACGTCGTCGCGGCAGCGAGAATAGACAGGCGAGAGCGTGTCGATCGCGCGAGAGCGAAGAAAGCTTCCGCGCCGGGCCGTCAATCGCGCGCGAAAAGGGTCGAGCGACGGCAGCGCCGAGTCCTAATTGCTTAATTGACTTGCAGCTTGCGCGGACGTGCAGACGCAGACGCGTCGAGCGACACCAGAAATATTCCGCCTCCGCGTGGCGGCCCAGCGCAATTTATTAATCATCGGTCGGGGATGAGAACGAGGACGCGCGCGATCGCAGATGCGTACGCGTCGCGCGGCGCGCGCCCCCAAATCGTAAAAAGAAGGCTCTCTCAGGTGCACGATTGAGACGTCACGACGGGTGGCACCCTCCACAACGCGAAAATTCAATTGTACAGCAGAGCGCATATGCGTCTCTCTCTCTCTCTCTCTCTCTCTCTCTCTCTCTCTCTCTCTCTGGATGATGATCTTTTCTCGTGTGGCTTTCCATTCCCGCGGGGATCGCGACGAGAGACCGCAAACGATTATAGACCGCCTCTGCTTTATTAGCTATTCCCTTTCATACTCGATCGCTTTACGCTCTCCTCTCTCTCTCTTCCCCCAGTGTCGGTCTTCTTCTCTCGATCGGCGATCGTCGTGCGCGGACTCACTTGCAGCTTCTGCAGGTCCAGCTCGGCCATGCACCTGAGCAGCTTCAGTCCTTTGCTAGCCAGACTCTTGGCGGGGCCGCCTTGGGGCTGGACCGGCGACGAGGGCGAGGTCGCGGGCTTGGCCAGCGCGGCGAGCGCGACGCTGGCGTACAGAGCGCCGATGACGCCGGCGGCCTCGGTCGAGCTCAGCAGGCCGAGCAGGTGCGCCTGGGCCGACGACGGCTCCGCGCAGGGCTGCGACGCGGCCGCGCCGTTGCCCTCCGAGGCGGCCTCGTTGGAGGCCACCGACGAGCCGTCGTGCGTCGGCACGGCAGTGGCGCCCGGCGCGCGCCGCAAGTGCGCGCACACGCGCGACAGCAGGTCGTACGAGGCCGTCAGCAGCGGGCACTCGCGTTCCGGCTCGAGCAAGAAGTCGGATTCGATCATCGCCCGGCTGTGCCGACTCACGCGCTCGACGAGGCCACTCGTCATCAAGTATCTGCAACAAACGGGCAAAAGCATTATTTTTCAAGCTTCACCGGCACTTGGCGCGCGCGCGCGTGCGCGCATATGCGCGGCGAGGGGGCCGTGACGCGAGGCGTGCGTGACAGCGTAACACGAGAGGATTATAACATCAGTGCGGGTAATTCTGATGTATATACACGGGGCCGGAGCACGGTACGCGACGAAGGGTGGGGAGCCTTCAATTTGCAAGATTGAAATCGAGACTGACTTTATTTTGGCTGCGCCATGGAAGCCGATGACTCTCCCTCTCTCTCTTCTCCGGGACTCGAGGCACATTCATCGGCATTAATTTTATGCAGGCTTTTCGCGCATCCTCTAATCTCGACTCTGCTCGTCGTCCTAAGAATACAATGTCGAATGACGCTAAATGTATTGTCCGAGCTAGACACTTTAAGCGGCGCTAACTCTCGCCAATATGCGCGAACTACAATATTATCTTTGCGTCGGCGATAGATCCAGCTGTAAAATGCGAGCAACAACAGCAAGAAAGGGAGCGACGCCGAAAGAATAACAGGCTCCGCGACACAAAAGATCATCGCGCAGGCGAGGCGAGCACTTGTTTTGCAATTCTCTCTCTCTCGCTCTCTAATCGAAAGCCAACGAGGGCGAGAGTGTGCCCAACTGTCGCATGCTGCTAATCCCGATCGATGTTTCGCGCGTCATTTGAACGATAAGCAAGTACGACAAGGGCCTTTTTTTCTATTACGCCATTCATACGTCGTTCCTGTCACACCCCTCACCAGCGCAAATTCGCTGATGAGATGCGCACGAGCGCTCGTCGTCCCCGTATTTTTGCAACTGAGGATTAGTTTGTGCATTGTTTTATCGGCAGTCTTGGGTATAACAATTCACGTGGACGCGTTCAATTTTTTAATGCCACACAATACGGGCTAATTTTTTTTTTTCAACACTCTGCACAATAACCAGACATTTTGCGGATTGATTAGAAAACGTATTATTTTTGCCGTAAAAAAGAAATCAGAAACGCTCCAGCTTCTCGCAAAAGAAAACAAACAAACATGAAGCGAGGAAAAGGTTCTGTAAAACAAATTACGGTAACGTTATCACGTAACCCGTGTCGTGTTTGAGATTTCAAAAGGACTTTGGAAATGTCGTCCAGTGTCTTGAGATTTCCTGTAAACCGAGGAATCCGTCGGAGGAAAAATGAAAAGACTTGGCTTTCCTTGCGAACAAAAGGAAAACATATCGAATGAAGGAAGCTTCAGTGGAGCGAAGCCTACGCGTCCGAGGAGAGATGAGACGCAAATGAGGCATAGGCCGAAAAGCAAGAGCCTTGTAGATAGACGCGCGCGCCAGTGAATTTATTTATTGCACCCCCGTGCGCGCTCAATCTCAACCCTCCCCTTTCTGCGCACTGGCGCTCGCAAGCCATTAGCTAACCATATGATTATTTCATATAGGCAGACGCAAGGGGATGCGATATAAAGGTATTAAAGCATCGACTGGCAAAGGAGCAGCCAACGAAGACTTGCTAATGGAAGATTAAAAGGGCTGCTGATGATGACGACAGAGTAAATGATTAGGATGGGCGGGTGTGTCGGTGTAATCGAATCGCGCAAAGTGTGATCGATGACCCTCTCTCTCTCTCTGTATCCTCGCGGCAACCGGTAGCTCCTCGCGAAGAGCTGTCGATGATTCAGCGTCATTATCGTCGTCGTCGCATCCCTCGCGCGCAACAACAATCCCTGACAGCGCCAGCGACGACTACTACATCAATGCGGGCAACTCGCGCACACTTGTTACAATATTTACAGAAGCGAGCAGCCTTGGAGATGTGTCCTCGGCCCCTGCCATTGACAAGTGCGCTCGCCTCGCAGAAATTATATAGCCCCTCTCGTTGCTGACAATGTACTTTTTTTTCCCCCGCTATTGTTGTGCCCGAGCCGGCGCTCGCCCTGGACGTGTCACCTTTCTCTCATGGCGCATAATACCCACGGCGAAACAATCATGCCAACTGACAGTTTTGCCCGCGCTCTTTTTGTTGCCCCCCCCCCCCCCCCCCCGCTCGGCATTCTGACGGTCTCGCGATCGACGGACTCGCGAGACGCACGGAGACGAGAGTCGCTCCTCCTGTGCATTCGGTGCCGCCGACGATCATTTATCCGAACTATTGTGTTGCGCGCCGCGGGACGGCAAATAAATATGGCTGGAGGGAGCTGGAGAAGCTATTAGGCGAGCGGCCGCCGAGAGAGCAAAGAGGCGCCGTGTCGCGCGCGCGCGCGAAAGTGGCAATATCCTGCGAGCCGCTACGCGCATTACAATACATTACCAATTCGAACGCTGAGTGTTGTGTGTGCGCGACTGTTTGCGGAGCGGAATGGATGCTCTCCGGCGTGCACGTCTGACGCGCGTCGTCGCTTCTCAAATAAACGCGCTTTTCGGCAATAAAAATCGATGGACGCGCGGGGCAGATGACCGTCGATGAAACACAAAAAATTAAAAAGAAAAAAGGAAACGGATCATCTGCGCGGCAGATGCTCGAGAAACATCAGCTGGCCTGATTCACCTTCCTCCGTAATTAGTTCCTCTATCTTTTACGGCCTAACCTTCTCCCCCCAGCAGAGTCGCAGCGGCGGTCACGCGTCGCTGTAAATATAATTCGGCTATTCGTTCGACAATAAAATGTAAGAATGCAGCTAGACGAAAGACATTCGATAGCGAGAGCAGACATTTGGTTAACCTTCATAAATAAATCGGCATTCTTCGAGGAAGGCAGGTATACTGGTAAGATAATTTCATCCAGATCGAGGAAAAAGAGTCTGCTCGATTATCAGTCGTCAGCGCAAAAAGAAGAAGCGCTCCAGTCAGTCACAGAGAAAGAGACACGCGCAGTCCCACAAAGCGACAAAAAAAGGTGGAAGTATCGGTCGGCGAGCGTAAAAAGAGTTTTTGCAGCGCGCAACCATGAAAGAGCGTTCGAGTGTATGTGTAGTATCGAGGGGTTGAATTCGGAGTCCATTAGCAGATTACGCGGCCGCCCAAGGAATATATCCCTTAGACTCTCTCTCTCTCTCTCTCTCTCTCTCTCTCTCTCTCTCTCTCTCTCTCTCTCTCTCTCTCTCTCTCTCTCTCTCTCTCTCTCTCTCTCTCTCTCTCTCTCTCTCTCTCTCTCTCTCTCTCTCTCTCTCTCTCTCTCTCTCTCTCTCTCTCTCTCTGTCTCTTCGGGCTTTTCGGGTTATTGATGGGCCGCACATTATACTGCCGCGCCACGCAAAAATCATTTTGTTGGATTATTTCTTCGGTTTATTTGTGTGTGTGTGTGTTTCTCTCTCTCTTTTTCTCATGATGATTCCTCGTCGATGCGCATGCTATTATATAAGTATATATATAGCTGCGTCATAAATTTTGTGATAAGCGGGAGCATGTGTGCGCGCGTGTTTTTTCTAGTGATGATGCAGAACTTTTTTTTAGTCTTTGGTGGGTTCATTAATTTGAGTACACTTTACTGTTGACGAGAGTATGGACGTTTTACACGAAGGTAATTGGGCAAACATCTCCATTCGTATGAAATAGAAATTGAAATAGATGAATCAAAGGTTACTTTAAATTTGGATAATTAATATTTCTTTTAATAAAAATTTTTTATGTAATGTCGAGAGTAAAAATAATAAAGAACCAACGAAAAGAAAAGAAAAAGAAAATCCAATGATATTTCCTCGAATCAATCCGTTGTAAGTAGATAAGTAGTTGTTCGTCTTCAAACAACTAACGAAAAGTAATGCATCTCTTGGAGAGAGAGAGAGAGAAAGAGAGAGAGAGAAAGCGAAGAAGGAACAAGTCAGGACTAATGGAGCAAGATACACACGCAGAGGAAAGGTGAGGCTCTGCGCTCTCGCGATACATAATTCGCTAGAAAATCGAATTACGTGCTGCGAGCGCCAAGATCAAACGACCGGTTGACCTCGTTTTCCTTGATTTGATTTCACATCTTTTTTTTTACAACTCGGCCCATCGATCCGATGCCATATAGCTCAAGCTTGTAATTATAGCGAGCGGCTGTTTACTTAGAGGGTGAAAAGGGCTTTTGTTTCAGACGCTCTGCTTGGATTTTGAAAGGTGAAAGGGGAGAGAGGTACGTAAGACGTTCGATTATGTTTCAACTCGATATTTGATGTCATCGATTTTTCCACGCAACAAAGGTCAACGATTTAAATTACAAGCTGCCGCTCCTCTCCGTTTTCTATTTGCTGAAAAGGAAAAATTCTCCGTCGTTATGATATTCACAAAAGGCGCATTAGTGCCGAGCGGGCGCATCGACGTCTTCCGTAATTCGCGCTCCCTTTCCAACGAAACTTTTTTTCCACGCAATTGTGCGCCAACACGATTGTCAAAATCAAGAAGAAAGGCTTGCAAAGTGGATAATTGGACGGATCGATAGTCAGCGAATAAAAATTCTTCTCTTTTCGCCGACCATAGGTACACAAAGCCGCCAAGGGCCAATTACACGGCTTAATCCCGTCGCTTGATTAGATGCTTCGCTCTGGGATTAGACTGTTTGCTCGATGATTTCTTTTCCTTCAAGACGCTGACGACGATGTAAGCAGCTGGATAGATTCTTTCTCAGATAGACGGAGGATTAGCAGATTTTTAATTTCCATAAGATTCAGATTACTCATCGATCGCCGAATGTTTGATTTGCGTTAATGAGATTTGGAAAGTTTTATTTACAGTATTTTCCATTTGATATCGATTTACATCGCCGCGAATGGTGTCTCGTTAAAGCAGCACGTTCACGAATCGAATTTCAATAATCAACAACAGGCCAGATTAAAGCGTGACTTTTCGTTTCTTTTCCTCCGGAAATTAAAGTACGTACTAATACGAATAGTCACGCAAAAAAATTGTTCTCCGCGCGACTCCAGTTACGCCGACGAAAATAGGAGAAGAAAAAAAATCGGAAGCGCGTTCCATAAAAAGGGTTGCACCAACCAGGAAGTTGACCCAGGTGCCCGTAGATATAGTGGATATCGGATCGCCTTGAGTAAATATCTGTGTGACTGACTGACGGCTCTTCTAGACACAAAAACGCATTTTATGGGTGGTCTCTCGATGTTCGGGTTACCAACATAGTTTCTCTCACTCTCTCTCTCTCTTTTTCCTCGCTCGCGCTTTTCTTTCACGCGCGTGTATTTTTGCCTGTATATCTTTGAGCGACTTGAAACTCGAGATGGTTTTGGCCAAATTTCACACTCGTACAATATTTACACAAAGCAATTTATTTGCGAGACAGAAGAAAGTATCTATGTTGAAGGAATTCGGCATTAAACTTACCCAACCATGTCCTGAAGTCGCGATTGTAAGCTTAGCTTGTCGAATGGATTATCAGGTACGAGAGTGCAAAGAAGTTGAGTCGCCGCCACAGCCACCGAACCATTTCCATTGCAGCCATTGGCGGTCATCTCCTGCGCTTGACTCGCGTCGTCGAGACTCGTTACTGCCTGCGATTTCAACAAATAATGCATTAAAAACAAACATACAACTCAATACTATTTTTAACTTCGAATGTACGCAGCGATCATTTACAACGAGAGAGCGAGATGAAAATCCAAACGCTAGCGCATTCGTCATAAACGGCACAGCCTCAAAAAGGTTCACTCCTCTGCCCCCCTCCGCCGCGCCACGTAGTACGCGCGCGACCGACAATGCATTAGCGCTCGGAGCTTTTAGTGACGTCACGCTTTGTGTCGCCAAGTGCGATTCGTCATTTGCGCCTTTCACAGAGCTTTTTTTCGCCGCATAGAGCACTCACTTTTTTCCCTTTACTTGTCTTTTGTAATGCTTTTTTTTTTTTAAAGAGAGGGTGGAAAGCGTTTGACGGTGATTGGTTCGACGCGGGGATGGGAGTGATTTTTTTCCCTATACTTTTCACAAAATGAGCGCTGAATGATGATGATGATGCGAGAAATGTCAGTCTAACGGGAAGGAAATTTATGGAGGCGTAGGTATGATATGGATGAAAAATTAAGGCACAGATTATTTTCGAGTAATTCCTTTATTTATTGAAACGGTCGATCATTCACTACCATTGCAAAGATCGGTGTTTCAATTGTTAGGGAAACTTCGAGGAAGAGAGTCGTGGAAATGGAAAAACCTGCGTTAAGAAATGGAACTTTTTCGTAAGTATACCTTTAGCCTCCACTCGAGTAGGCGAATAACAGAAGCCTTTCAAAGTTATTTCAAAGTCATTCTAAAGTTTTTAAAATATCCCAAAACACTTCAATCCGGATGTCAATCGGCCACCAAACTGAGAAAATATCCCTCGCATCGAATTAAACCCCAGCTTTACCCACACTTTGAACAGCCGCACACAAAATACGTCGACCGACTAAATATAATCCATCCAAAGAGCAAAAGAGAAGAAGAAGAAACTCGTTCCTCGCGTTTCCTGGCAATCAAAATACCAAGCGAATGAAGCTGCGCGAGCGCGCAATCGGAACAATGACAAACTGCATCAAACACGTGCCGACAATATCCGGGAAAAACTCTCCCCTCGAGAGAAAAATTGTAAATTTCAACTTGCGGAAATCGCGGACCCTTGTACTGTGTCTTTCTGTTCAATGATCCGCGACCGAAAAAGGGACACGCGTACGCACTAATAAAAGTCCGTCGGCCGATTAGTTCGTAAGGGAACCGTTCGATTTACGAGCGTTTCCTTTCAAATTTTCGGATTTCTCTAAATGAAATATATATATATATATATACATATGCGCGTATGCATTTCTGCCGAGCTTTCAGTTTTATACACAGAATCGCATCTATTGTTTGATACGACAAGCGTTACAGGGCGTATTATAACCGTGAAACAATTATTGGCATTGCATCGAATTGATATATTATTGTGCCTTTGTGCCATTCATTAATTTTTTCGACAAATTTTCTTCGTGTGTTTTTCTAGATGACAGTGAGTTCACAAAAAAAAAAAAAAGATTTAATCCTATTAATCGATTAGCTTCGACGACAACAAGAAAAATGCGCGTCGAGATAAAATAAATTAGTTTCTTATTAACGGCTATTATTTACTCGCAAAAATTTTCGAAATGAAAAGTTCCTTGACCATACGTCCATAATGTATATCCGTCAACGAAAGCGCAACCAAAATCAAAACAACACCGAAATTCTCAAATGAGTAAAAAAAATACCCAAGCTAAATCCTTCGAAATCCTCATTAATCGAAACTCGGTAAAAAAAAAAGAACGACTACATAAAACCACTCGAGCAAAAAAAGAGCTTATCGGTAGGAAAAGAAGGAAGAATAAAAAAGTCGAAAGGAATGCCGTCGCGGTCTCGCGCGGCAACGGCACGCAAGCGTTAATCCGAGTGACAGGCGGCTCGCGTCGCTCAAAATTTTGCGTGACGGTAGCCAAGTAAGAGAGAAAGAGGGAGATGGAGAGGGAGAGGGAGAGAGAGAGAGAGAGAGAGAGAGAGAGAGAGAGAGAGAGAGAGAGAGAGAAAGAAACGCGAGATGCCCGATGATCCGACGAGCTTTACCAACTTTTTTTCGTTTCTTATTATGAACGTGATTAATGCTTGCGGTATTTTTTTTAAGTAACTAATGTGCTATTGAAAACGAAAATCTTTTTAGTTGTTGCGCGCCATCGAGCGGATAGGTGAGAAACTAGAGGATGGTCTACGGTAGGTAAGTATAGGCGAATGAGGAAGAAAATGATTTGAATTGCAGAAACCTTACCTCAAGACGCTGCATCAGGAGATCAAGTATCACAATTATTTTGTTGCTTAGTAAAACAGCCTCGATGTTTGTCGAATGCCCGCTCAGAGCGGATACGTACACTCGGCATATCGACACGATACTTCTGTAAGTCAAATTGAAGAAGAATATTTTAGTTTGTATTCGATTGATTTATAAACATAACGCTTACTTATTTGGTAACGTATAAGTAGTATTATTCTGTATGTTCAAACAAAGGTTCAACAAGTTCGTCAGTGTTTCAAAGCCATAGAGCTGAGAAAACGCATCTTGATCCAGAGGACACTAAAATGTGCAATCAACGGCATTACGTTTATATTTTCTAAACATTCTAGAAAAATAAATCTCGTACTAACCGATTTGGAAAACCCTCTCGCGATTTCTCCGAGACACCTTTCTAAACTAGCTACAGCCACAACTGACCATGTAGTTTTGGCGTGATTCTGACAAAGCTTATCCAACTCTTTTAGATTTCTTCTGAATTTTGATTTATTCGAAGAATCAACCACATGAGCACCATCGCTATTTTTAACCAAATCTTCATACTCCTGACTTCTGGCGGTCATACGTTGTTTGATTTTTCGACTACGTCGTTTTAACGCTTTTTGTTTTTCCTTGGCTACTCGATTGTCGGTGTCTGCTGGACTTTGATAATCTTTGATTTGTGAGATATTGAACTTTTGAAGCTCATCGCGGCAGGGTTCTCGACCATCGTGCACCTTTCGCACTGCTTCGCAGTGAACTTTGCCTTTTAGGTGAGATAATAACTGGACTTCGTTTAAAATCTAAAAATACGATTGTTTTTTTAAAAATCATGTAATATTCTTGTTGTATTCGAGTACATACCATTTTACTACAAAGCGTGCACTGTTTTAAACTCGGATAACTCTTCAACGTAGGTGGAACTTCCTCAGCTCTCATAATCGACGATTCAATAGCTCGCTGACGAATATGTTCGATATTTTCCACATGCCTTCTCGCAGATTCTTGTTGTTTCTGTGCAATTTTCTTTTGTAATTCTTCCTGATTAGCCAATTGAGCTGCATGTAAAGCCGACAGTCTTTCCTCGCGATCGCGAGCTTTCTCGCGTGCAAGTTCTTGACGTTCCTTTTCACGTTCCAGTTGCATCTTGCCTACGCGTTCCTCTCGCTCGCGACGAGCTTGTCGCATACGTTGAATGCGTAGTTGACGCTCGGCTTCCAGAGCACGACGACGTTCTTCAGCTGCGGCTTCTTTGGCTGCTTTCTCTTCTTGACGACGTTGACGTTCTTCCTGAATTCCCTGCAGTCTTTCCTCTTGCTCTTGACACAAAGCCATGAAATCGTGTCGTTTGTTTTGCGCTTCCAACTCGTTAATGAATGCTATCTCTTTCAATTTGGAATCTTCGTCATGAGCTTTTCTCACGATTTCCAACAAATGCTGCGTTCTATTTTCCTCCGCCCTTTTCAATTTCATTTCCAGGCGTATCCGCTTGTCTTCGATCAATTGATTCTTTGCTATCTTCACGTCTTCAACTTTGTTCAACAACTCGCGGAGACGCTGAGACTTTTCCTTTAATAGCTTCTGTCGTTTGTGTTGCGCGCAAGCTTGTTTCGCTTGATACCTAAAAAGTATTCCGAAATCACAATATAATGATCGCGCTAACAAAAAAAATCTAACTTACCTTTTGAGAGTTTCCGGTAAAGATCTTTTCCTCGATGGCGACGAAAGTTTCTGATGCAATTCCAACGCCCTTCCTGGATGTCGAGCGACCAGCGCTTGCAATTGAGCCAGAGTATCCATTCGTTCAGCCCACGACATACCCTCGAGCATATTTTCATAGCGATCCTCCAAACTCATTTCATCATTCTCGTCGGCACTGCTCAGAGATTGAAGCGGCAAATCTTCGGTATCCAACACTAGTTCTCCGTCAGTTTCATCTGTCTCTGTGTCTATATCGATCTCCGTAGATTCTAATTCAAGAATCTGACGTTGAAGTGACGCTTCCTCGTCCGAAAGTTGCTTTGACCTTTGGGAATCTGCTTCCTCGGTTTTTCGCTCTTCTTCGAGAATGATACGCTCACGTTCTGCTTGGGCAGCCATAAATTGTTGAATTCGCTTTTCCAACAATTCAGCCTCGCTTTCGAAAATCGCTGCAATTGTTTGCGACGTCGATTTCGTCTCGGTTATATTAGTTGATGCACTTTTACTCTACAAATAAATAAATATTTATCGTTAACATTCGATCGGTACATTGATTGAAAAGAGTATTGATATAAATAGCCGTTACTTTCAATTCTTCATTGACAAGTTTGCCTTCGTCTCTCTTAGCCTTCTCGACCTTGAGATCCGTCTTGACTTTCACTACTTCATTAGTGACATTCTTATCGACCTTCCCACCAATGTTCCTCCTCTTTTGTTTGCCATCTATAGTTGCCTCTTTCTTCTTCCCAGAGTCGATACACAATGCCGGCATAGAGGTAGCAGTACTAGGTTTATGAAATCTCGTTGATATGTTCAAATTGTGAGTACTGCCACGACGTGTACGACTTTTCACCGTTTGCCAACCATCGACGTCGAGCTTCGGCTTGGACTTTGTTGTTAACACTTCCACTGAAGCACTCACATCTTCCGTTTCTTGTTGAGCTTGCATTCGTCTACGTACGATAACAGACGTTCCTGGTCGAATTTTGTTTGGAGCTGCGGAACCTTTAACACCTAAAGTTGTTTTACTTCGGGTAATTTTCGGTGGTTCTTGTTGAGTCGGTGCTGATGGCACATTGCCAAGTGTTGATTTCATTCGAGAGACCATTGAGTATGCTGGTTTTGGTAGATTTGGTTTTGATTTTGGTGCGGTTGTCATTGGGCTTGTTGGCTTCATTAGCAATCTAGCGGCATTGGTATTTGGTGCTGATTTTATTTCTGGTGGACTGGAACTAAAAATTTTTATTACACGTACAGTAAGGCTTTATTTCGTCAGTAGTCAGAAAATAAAAAAATATACCTTATATTATTAGCAGTACAATTCTTATTCAAGTTTGTATTTATTTGATTCTTCATAGTCTCAATATCTTTTTTGAGATCATTGTTTTTCTTGATAACCCCATCAATATTATTTTCGTTGTTAACGTTATTAGGATGAATATCCGGCGGTTTCGTACGATTTATATTTGGTTGTAGAGGTCGAGTGATATTTCGTGTCATGTTAGTATTTTTAGTGTCGGTATTGATCTTCGCATTAGCATTACTCTCGGATAAAACTTTAGGCTCATTGGCAGATGATGGACGTTTTAGAACGCTCGTTGATCTTGTGTTCACTTTGGATACTACTGGTTTTTCCTTTAATATTTTACCTAAAATAAATAATTTACTTTAAGATAATGAATATGAAAAACCAAAATAAGAAGTAAAATCAATTTACCATCATTTTTTGAACCTTGATTTTTAGTTTCTTTGACAATTTTTGGATTTCTCACGCCAACATCCGGTTTTCCTAATGATTCGGTTTTATTATCAGTAATAGTCACTTTATGTTCAATGATGGTTTGCTCAACAATTGTATGATCAATAGGACTTATAGGGCTTGTTCTTTGCAAAGGGCTTCCAGGCTTGGGAACTACATTTGAATTCCACATTCTACATGGAGAAGTTTTCCTAACTTCCCATGCCAGAGGAGTTCTTCTCAAGGGTGGTGGGAAAGTTTCATAAGCCCATTTGACTTTGAACCATTCTATGAGATTGTGAAAATCACGAGTGTAATTTTCCAAAACCAAGATCACCTCTTTACATTCTGAAATATTCTCATCCTCCTCACAAGTCTCATAGATAGCATCAACTGCACGCTGAAGATTTCCAAACAGAAATGCCCAGTACCTAGCTTGTAACTCTACAATAACAAAATACATAAATTTCAGACTCTCAAGAATAGAGAACTGATTAAGACATACCTGATCGCTTATCACGACCAGTTGAAGCTGATCGTACTCGAGCATTAGTTTTGATTGATCGCTTTGTATTGGCTGATTGTAGAATTCTAGGAACACTTGGTGGTTTGCGTGTAATTTTCTCAATGCTATCAGACTCTAATGGAACATTGAAGGCTATCAAGTTCCTAGCTGCTCTGCCTTCTTCCTGCACTAACAACCTTACATCTGACATTATGATGATATCTGTAATGATACTGATATAATAAAGGCATCACTGAATAATGAATAGTTGAATTTATAGATAAAAATAATCTTGATTTTATAATTTTGTAATTTTTAAATAAGTAATTCTAAAGCATAAATATAAAATTCTTAAAATTAATGATATTAAATGATACAAAGAAAAAATTAATAATTTGAAGCGCATAAAATGCCACAAAATCATTTGTTTAGAGTACACCAAACTTTGTTTACGTTCATACGATTGCCTTAAAACAAAATTCAATGCTGTAGTACAAGCGAAAAATTCATTATCGTGACCTCAACGACACCTTAAATCTGCAGACAATTACTGCACGACTTGAAAGACCCTCCGTTTAACTTGATTTTTCGGTTTACAAAATAGGAGTAGTAAAATAAGTGTGTTAATCTGAGAACATATTACGCACCATTTAAAGGTTATGTGTTCTGGTTGTTTGACAAACAATAGGTCGTTAATGAAATCGATGTAAAAAAATTATCTTATAGTCGAATGGTTTTTTCCGGTTTAATGAATTTTCCTCAAATCTGAAACATGCGTAAGATCCGTGAAGTCGCGAGAAGACAGTACAGTTGACATTTTTTGACAGAGACTAGTCATTGGCGAAACCACGGTAAAACTGACAATGCTAAAAGCGTGCTCATTCAGCCTTTTGCCGCGCCGAGCGCGCGAGTAACTATACGTATGTAGTACTAGTACATTTTTTCTATTTTATAGTTAAATGAGAAACTATAATTGTATTCAGATTTTGACAAAATCTAATTATAAAAGTTTTGAATAAATTTAATTTGAAATCTTCAAGACTATTGCTAAAATATAAACATGTATTAATTAAAGAATACAAATTTACTTTTCATGTATAATTATATATATTTAAAATTATTTAAAAAATTTTAAAAAATTCATCAACTCCAAAATATTAAACTAAAAGATCTATCTTTTGCTATCAATCATCCTCATAAATAAAAATTTCTCTACCGCACGTCTGCATATTTTTATAAAGGTGTTCGCTCTCTCTAGATATAGACGTGCACAAGGGAAAGAAATTATAACTCAAAAAGAGAGATGTATTACAGGCGCGATGTATGGCAAATCAAATTAGCGCGTCAATGTCCTTCGTCACATATATATAGGCCTATAAGTCTTCTGCGGAAAAAGGAGGCGGCGACGCGACACCAACCACACAAAAGAGAGAGGCTATCGACTGAGTAGCAGCTGATTCAAGCAGATCTGCGAGAGAGTAGGTGACGAAAAGGTTTTTTTCTCCGACACAGGCTTCAATTGTTATTCAAGTGTAACAAAGAACAGGTTACTATTCCGAGTATGAAATTATTGAATGATTGGCTTTTTTTTTTCATTGCTCGCGACTATCAAACGCAAAAGAATTTGGTTTTTTAGAGTGATTTTTCTTCCCGTACTGTTTGGAACACAATGGTGTGTGTATGTGTGTCGAAGTAACTAATTTTTGTTTAAAATCGATCAAAAAGATTTTTATCTAATTAGAAAGATGGTTTCTCTTAAGTAAAAATTGATCTTGTTTTCACTAGTTACTTTGCGTAGTTTTTTAATAATCTTCCAAATCCTAGACAGTCAACATAACCTCGGATTTTTTTAGTGTGATTTCGCCTACATTACTGTGTCTAAATCACCATCTTTGCGTTCTTTGATTACCTTTCTGCTACTCTAAGCATTAGTCTTGACTCGGTACGATATGCATGCTCGTGTTAGCGAATGTTTAAAAATTGATACAAATGATGTAGTTTATTGATTTAATGAAACCAGGCTTTATCTTTATAGAGATTAACAAATTGAATTAAAAATGGCTGCACTACCAAGAAGAATTATCAAAGAAACACAGAGACTTATGCAAGAACCAGTGCCAGGCATCAGCGCAGTGCCTGATGATACCAATGCCAGATACTTTCATGTCATAGTTACGGGTCCTGAAGATTCACCCTTTGAGGGTGGACTCTTCAAATTAGAATTATTTCTTCCTGAAGACTATCCCATGTCTGCACCTAAAGTGAGATTTATCACCAAAATATATCATCCGAACATTGACAAGTAAGAACATTTTATTGTTTCGATACCAAAAATTGTGCATAGCAACTGCGCAGCAATTTTTATCTTTTTATTATAATTTAGATTTGAAATTTGTGTTCATTGAATTGAACTTTAATCATATTTTATTATCTATTGAATGTTATTTGTAGGCTTGGCAGGATCTGTCTAGATATTTTAAAAGACAAATGGAGTCCAGCTCTCCAGATAAGAACTGTGCTACTGTCGATACAAGCTCTGTTAAGCGCTCCAAATCCAGATGATCCACTGGCAAACGACGTTGCTGAGCTTTGGAAGGTGAATGAGAGCGAGGCGATACGTAACGCCAAAGAATGGACACGCAGATACGCCATGGACAACTGATCTCAGCGCTAGCGCTGTTATTGATGAGAGAGAGAGAGAGAGAGAAAGAAAGAGAGCAGGCAAATGTTTATGCAAAGTTTTTTTGTGGGACGATTTATCAAAACGCTTTGTTCCGTCAACATCTCCACACATCAATACACTTACATTTCACACAGACTAATGTCGCCTTTTTTTCGGCTTGTCCTCCTTTTCACGCTGCCGTCTTTGGTTCTTTTCCTTCGTTTGGATTTTTCCACGATCCAACAGTATTTTAAAAACTCTCAGAATGAATGATTGTATCATTAAAGATTTTCTGAGTTTAAAGTTCAGAAATTTCTCTAACGATAGCAATGCCATGAGTAAGAGAAAAAAAAATCACGAAATATAAGAATACGAATGATCCCCATGGTACATAGGCGTCTCTGACAGATTGTTTCGGATACTTCGCTCGCATAATAAATGGAGAAAAGCATACGTTATTAATGTTGTACATGAAATTTTGCTAATACTACGGATAAGGAAAAGAAATGAATAACCGACCTTCGCGTTTGATGAACTTTTTTTTTCTTATCAAGGAAAAAAATTGTCTCAAAACTAATGTTTCTGCCAGTCGTCCACAATGAAAGGAAAAAAAAATTAAAACAATTACATGTATCTTAAGTACGATTGTAAAACAAAGAAGGAGGTATAAAAAAAACTAATATCTTAGTTTTAATTTTACGTAATTGCATTAAGGTATTCCTTTTTTGTAGATAAGTCTTAAGATCGATCGTTTATTGTATAACAAATTAATTAAATAAGAACAAACTGTTTGAAGAAGCGAGTACTTTTATAAAGTAAAATAATAAAAAACAGGAACTGATAATGTGCTGAAATATTCATTGTTGTTCTCGTAACCCTACGTATTAAAAATAAAAATGCAACAATGACGAAAGAAAAAAACAGTGGTGCGGTACATATATATCATTTACACAAGAAAAAAACTACGTTTTTACGTGTACTGTCACCTCGTGCCTTTTGCAATGTCGTATTTTTTCGCAGAAATATTTTAAAATAAGAAACGCACCGTTTTCCCAACATCATTTATCTTTTTTACGTCACGTTAAAGTTATTTTTATAGGAGTAGCTTCCACAAGAGAATAAAAAAACACCCGGTTTACTGAAAAAAATTAAACAGAATGTTAACTCTGTGATAAGAAACTGCGAAGCATATCCATATATGTTGACTACACTTTGACAAAATGCTTAAATCAATATATTATACAGTACTCAGACAACTGCAGCGGTTGAAAATGAATAAATAATTATTTATGTGTATTGAAATACGTAGATAATTTAGCTTGATTTAAAAAAAACCATTAAAGTTGCCTAAGCGTATTATATGATTCATAGACGGCCAAGATTTAAAAAAGATATTTAGACAATAGCATTTACGAATAAATAATAAAAAGAAGCTGAGGCATTGAACTGACAGTGTGTGTTATTTTCATTTTTAACGGCATCCTCGAAGATTTTATTTTCCCTATAGCTCACCATCATTAGAAGTTTGAACATAAAAGATGGAACAAATAAAAAAGAACTTGAGGAGCGTTTCGAGATCTAAAGGCAAAAATGGTCTTGAATTCAAAATTACAGTTTATTGTTGTCTTTGTATGGACTAGTATAGTATTACCATATACACATTCAATAGCTCGCTTACTTGTTTAACCATAACTTATAATACATTCACAAACATTGATAAAGATAGTCATGATATTTTTTTCTTATAATCCTCGCAGCCTGCTCTGTATTCTCCTTCTTTTTCTTTTCATTGAAGTATAATTAAAGTATGTGTCATGACTCCAAAGCTACCAGCACAAGCTCTATTAATTTTTTTTCTTTCACTTTATGTATAAGTTTTTGTATGTATATATATAATTATTTCCCCCCTCTTCTTCATCTCCATGGGCATTCGAAAAATTATCAATTTATTTGTGTGTTAGCGTGTATGTGTTCTCTTAAGAACACATATAATAGAAACTTGGTGTGCAATGCAAAAAAGCTCATACTCACTCATTCTTCTTCTTTAATTATCTTTTTTTGTCAAATTTTTCTCTTTTTGGCCTATCGTAAACAAGTCAAAAAAGCACTATTTTGAACGATTCTTCTCTTACGCAGTCTCAAACACTTTTCGCTTCTTAGTTTCTTCTTTTTTTATTTAGTTTATGCTTTTTCGTTAACAACGATTTCTTCGCATTCTTATCAGCTAAAAAAAAGTTTGTTTTTTTCTTTTTACAACATATAACTCAAAAGAACCGCATCAATTCGCCATTCGTGTACTTCGAGACTCGTCATTTGCACCTACACCAATTGCAAGTTTTCTCTATAAAAAATGAGCGATTGATAAAAAAAGAAATCGACGGAACTCTTACGTTCGAACGACGAATCGATGAAAGGTTCTATTGCAAAGGAGGAAATCAATTCCACGATCCAATGTAGAAAAAGAAAAGAGTAAACAAATGCATGAGTACTAAAGGAATAATAATAATAATACGTAATAATAATTCCGCTCAACGAAATCGTCGATTTGATTATGAGCGAGAGAGACCGCCTGCAAGAGGACATGAGGAAACTCAGTTCAGTCAGCTCGCTCGATTTTTTATTTTTGTATATATTACGAATTACATAACGTGCTATTGCCGCACTCGCGAGTCATATGGGTTTTGTCTTATTTATTTATTATTATTATTATTTTTTTTTGATGAAATCAGTCGGAGTTGGCTCCCATATGAGTATTCTCCCCCTCTATAATCGCATAGAGTAATATTATTTATTTGTTTGTTTTTTGTTATCTTTAACTCTTAGCGTTTAATGACTAGATAAAACCTCCAAGCTTTGCCAGCCTCCTACTACCGACATCACTGTACATCACTGTTTGATCCCTATTTTGCTTCGCCCGCGAGTCGGTGAGTCCGATGTTAACCACGGGAATTCTCACTTTTCTTGCTTATACCTTAACGCACAAGAATTTGATATGCTAAATACAGGGAGGATGGATTATGATGCTATATAATGCGACTCGTTTATCACACTTTGATCATTGCTGCGTAAATCGGATTGCTTGGTTTGAGCATTTATTGATGTAACCTATGGATCTCTTCAATAAATGGAGTGTTTGAACACAAAGACATAAGATTATACGTTTCTGTTTAGCCGTTTCAAGTCACGATTTAGTCAATCGAGATTCATAAGTAGATTGTGTAAAGAAAAATAAAAACAAATTGCAACTGAAACAACCATGCATAAAATGTAATATGAGTAACGGAACACTTAACAATACTGTAATTTCATCTTACAACAAGTACAATAATCAATCATTCCTATGGCAACAAATCTCGGACACTCACATTATGCAATTGAATGGATAATACAGAAGTTTTATAGATGCTAATAATTCTGGTTTGCTATTAAAAAACATCGGACCCACCACCATGCACGCTAAACCGTTCGGCCTTTCGTTTTACCTAAAAACTATATATAAGAGCATCGCGTACATATTAACTAATCACGCGATATATTTGGTAATAATCGCCTGGTCTTCTTTAATCGAAAAGCGAAAAAATGTCTTCGTCGTTATCGCAGCAAAAATAGACAAAACCTTGTCATACATAAGTAAGTCGTACATCTGTCGGTTTCACTTAAATACAAACTCTGAGATTGGCGGTTTAAAGCGGTGGCGATCTAGCTTTCCTCCAACGATATATTTACGTACAAGAACGAGAGCGACTCTGCAAAATAATTAGGAACTGATATCCCCTGTCGCGCAGAGTCGCACGTGCTTTCTTTTCCATTTCTCCTATCTTTCTCTGTCTTTTGTTTCTTCTAGATATAATATATGTTATATATACGCGGTCGAGCGCTATCCGTTATATTTATAATATTTATAGGTATTTATACGAATATTAGTACAAATTAATTAGACAAGCGAAGCTCCCTTTTTCATTTTCTTCTTCAGCTTCGAAGCGGTACTTTTTTTAAATATAATATACAGAAGTCGCTTTTATTTGTTTCAATGTGTTTTTCCTCTTTTTGTTTTGCATTTTGTAATCTCTTACATTTGTGCTATTTATAATCGTGCGCATCGAGAGTTTTACTTGGGAATAGGATTTGTATATTCTCGCAGAATTTTGGCCCGTTCTTGTGCGGCAGACGGCCTTATCAAAGTTTCTTTTTTTTGTTAAATCTATGCATCTCAACTTCGTTATTATAATTAGATTCTTTAGAAGTGGGGGGGGGGGGGGGGCGAACGGATTAAAATATTAACAAAAATTGAAATCTGCCAAGAACGAAAACAATTATTTTTGTTCGTCTTTGTCGGCGTGAAGCCTCGTCAATCTATCGATTGGATTGAGGGATTTGTATATTGTCTGTCAGGCATCTTCTTCTTTGAGTTCGCTTTATAGCTTTATATGTACACCGGCGACTCTTGTCCCGTTAACAGCCTGAACATCGACGTTGGCATCGTCTTCATTAAAATCTACAAAACAAATAAAAGGCAATGATTGAAAAATCACCTCTCGTTCTTCACTAGATGAGGGAAAAAGGAAAACTGACCTCGCCAACGGACGTAGCAAGCAGATTAACAATCTTCTCGTGCGGCACAGCGACTACACTCTGATTATTGATCTCGATGATCCGATGACCAACGCGAACGCCACCCCTCTCGGCAATACCGCCGCGTAGCAAACTGCAAATGACGCCGTTTTGCACGCTGAAGCCCAACTGAAACTTTGTATCGGGCCTCTTGATCTTGACTTCGACCACGGGAGCACACGGCACAACGGTGAGTTTCACGACAGTTTGGTTCTTTGAGTTTTTAATGTACGTCTGGCAGGTCGACAATGGAAGACCAACTAACGAGACACCATTTATCGCGATTATCTGATCACCAATGTTCAGCTGGCCGCAACGCGCGGCTGCCCCCGATGGGGCCAAGTTCGCTATCACCACCGTTGGCAACATCGAACCCCAGCCTGATTCTACTATCACTACTCCCAGGATTTCGCCTTTGGCCTTTGGTACTACTACCTGTGAAAAGAGAAAAGGTAGTTAATCGACGAACTACTAATAATAGTAATAACTGCTAATACGCAGATATTGTCGGAAAGATTTTGTCAAGTACCTCTTTCTGCATCTCCTTCTTAGCAAACATCTGCAGTTCATCGCCAAAGATCTCCTGAGAATTAAGCACCTCTTGGTAATCCATGTCCTTGACAAAGCTGTGATCCTCAATCCCATTGGCCTTCAAAAACTCCATGTAAGCGACTTGAAAAGCTTGCCCGATGCTCTGAGCAATCTGCGGTGCTTCTTCGCTCTCGAACACATGGCAAATCATTTTTGGTGTCCTATTCTTCGGAGCTTCGTCCATCTCGTGCGGAACGAATCGTCGCCGTGCCATGAGGACGAACAACTCGCCGATGTCCGCGATATAGGATATCGTACGAAGCGCGTGGTCCATCATTATCTCCTTCAGATCCGTATTCAGCACCATTATCTTCTCCGTCGAGATGAATAGGTCGACCTCGGTACTTGGCTGTGATTCTCCTTCTGGTGCCTATGATGGATAACAAAATCGCGAGCGAGAAACAAAAAAGAAAAACATAAAAACGTTTAGGCTTTTTTTTATCGTCTCGGTGATCAAATTGATGATTTAGTTTTTCAGCATTGTTAAAGAGGTTCTTAAAGGGGAATGCCAGCAGAAATGCTTCTTTTTTTGAAAATTCCTTTTCTTGATTTGTGTTTGGTGATATGGTGCACTCACGTAAACGTCCCCTCTTTTTCTTTTAATTTGCAGATGTACACAATTTTATAGTGCAATGCGCTCGTGAATGAGAATTGGCAATAAACTCTAAAATATGTTACGTCGGATAATTGTAATAACGCATTAGGATAGGATATTATGATGTTAATTTACTTCTTTCATTGTCAAGTCGTCAAATACCATTTAAACGGAATATAAAGTCGCTGGATATACATGTGAGGTATGTTTAAAATCAGCAAATATATTAACAACAACAGCACAGCGTTCTCAAAAAGCATATATCTTTGGCAGAAAGAAATAGAGTTGAAAAATTGTAAACTATTCAAAAAATTACTGAAAATTTGCAAGAAATTATCGCAAAACATTGTAAAAATTACAATTAAAACAAATTTTTTCAATTTGCTAAATAAAAATTGAAAAATTCAACTCATAGCCGATGAGTTTGCATTTTTAAATTCGTTTTAATGTTCCTTATAAATGTCTTGTAATTATTTGCAATGATTTGCACTTCTCGTAATCTTGCAATTCCTCGGCATTTTTTTTGAGAGCTTCAATGATAATTTACGACTATTCAATCATATACTTATTTCTGTTAGGGGTCTAATTCAATCTCGCGATAAAAAAATATCAAATACACATCTAGCAAGAAATCAAAAAGAGTTTTCTTTTATTTACCGCTTGGAAATTCCCATTTAAAAACATCTGCATTAATTAATACAAAAGCGGTAAAAATTACAAAAAAAAACAAGAACTTACCAGAGCCTACAACGCGAAAGCAGCATGGAAAAGATGAAAAAATGCAAAAAGATTTGGTTTTTTTAGGTTTTGTGGTTAATAAAATTAGCGATGCAGATAATAATTATTTCCTTAAATGTTAGAGAGAATGTTAATTGTCAAATTATTTTTTTTGGACAGGCAGGCATTTGTTATTAATTGAATGCATTAATTTGACGCGCTTGGCTTAAAAAAAATGTATACAAGTGTTGCATGTTATGATCTTGTGATCTGGAGAAGGATATTGTACAGTAAGAAGAGTGATACGTGTCTGTAAGGGAGAAAAGACAGAAAATGAAAAGAGAAAAACTCAAAAACAGAAAATATCTGAACTTGTTGGCCTTTTGCCAAAACTTCAAATAAAAAAGAGCAACGGAAAACTATATTTCCCATTACCAAAGATCTCTCGTGAATGTATAACGCATTCTGTATGTGTGTCTTTATATATGTATATATGTATATATATATATGTATATATATATACGTAGTATGAGAAAAAACTAAGGGGACCCACTACAAAAAAAGTGTTCTTAAATTTGCTGCATGCTTGTAACATTTTTTATATTAAGAACATTTTTCTCAATTTTAGAAAAATAGTTGAAGAATACAGCAAAATTAGGATTTTTTTCGTGGCAGAGAAAAAGTAGAAGAAAAAGAGAGAGAGAGAGGGGGGGGGGGGTTAAAGAGGTACGGGAGGTTGTGTTTTTTTCCAAATAAAAAAAACACCTTAATCTTCCTGACGGCCTCTTCGACCATTTGATTCTTGTCGCGTTTGCGTCTTCGTCGCCTGCTTTCGCCGTCGACTTCAACCGAGCCGAGATAGCGAAGTCGATATACTGAAGGTTCAAGGGTTGTTGTCGTTGTCGTTGTTGTTGTCGTGGTAGCGGTGGCAGTCGCCGTAGGAAGAGGAGTCGTCGGTTTACCAGCCATCAACTCCTCGGTCGAGTCGCACTCGTCTTCCTCCGGCGTGGTCGCCATAGGTTGCAGTGGCTCTGCGGCTGACGACGACGCGGCTTGTGGAGACGACTCCTGGGACTTTGATAGTTTTTGCTTTCATAATCACACGCAATGGCGACGATCATCCTTCTTTTAGAAAATGGATACGGAGAGGGAACTATTTTGAAGAACGATCGCGTACCGCGAGTGCTTTTAATTTGTGGACAAATGGATGTTCCAACAACATCGGTTTTGTTGAACGAAGAGAAGATACCATTGAAAATCACGCTTGTCGGCCTTTTATCTGGCCTACACTTTATCATTCGGATTGTGATACCTTTCAAATCTCGCGTCGACGATAGAACAGTTAATCTAAAAGAACGTCGCGAAAGAAGACAAAAAAAGCACTCAGCGGTTCGTGACTCCATCGTCAAACAATATCTAAGAGATCGTAAACGTAATTAATTAAGAAAAACACATCGACCTTTCGGTAAATCGACTCTACTACAATAAAATGCCACAAACACATAGTAATAATCAAGATTCCGAGCACAATAACAAACTATGGAACGTCTTTTATGTTTTAACTACGACGCATTCAAGCATCTCGATATAATAATATATATCTACGATAACAAGAATGTACAACAGAACGAGCTTGGATTTTGTTTGGACAGATGTATATATAGATAGATAGATAGATAGAGAGAGAGAGAGAGAGAGAGAGAGAGAGAGAGAGAGAGAGAGAGAGAGAGAGAGAGAGACAACAACGATACAACAGCCCAGATATACATATTATAATCAAACTGACAATAATTATTCAAACGTACATAGTTAAAAAAGCCAGAGGCAAACAGGATATTCGTAATATTTGAACCATGCTTCGACCGTTTCAACTTCAGGATAAGTTATCGAAGGAACAGTATTTACTCTACGCAGGCACTTTATTACAGCAGTAATTTTTGGTCGAAGACGCGACTAGAAATCCAAAGGCTCTCATTTTGTTCAGATCATCGGAATGATTGTACATTTTTGTCAAACAAACGCACTTTTTGGCCACATGTGTATTTGTACCAAGAGTAAGCGTGTGTGAACTTTCCAATCTACGTCTAAAAGTTGTAGGGGTAAACGTATCTTCTTCTAAACTCTGTCATTAAGTTGAATTATCGGGTTCTATAAAAAAAAGGGGACAGATTCGAGATGCACAGTCGGTTATTATCAAGAGCAAAGAAATGACTCTTGGCATTCAGTTTTTTCTTTATCTAATTTCAAAGAGATCTACTTTGAACAAAAGAGAAACAGAGTAGGATTTTTTGTAGACAAGACGGTTTTTCAAGGGGGTATACAGAAGAGAGTGTTTGCAATGATTCATTTAAGTGGACTACACAGAGTCACGACTATATATAACAGACGTCAAGACACACTGACTTTCAGATACATCGATATAAATATGAATAATAATAACAATCACGAAAGATATCTATGCAAAAAGTGCCTCGAACTCATATCGTTTTGATTCCTTTCAAAGCCGATTGATCGATCATCACTTTTCCATAGTTCTTAATAAATCAATAATAAATAAAAGAGAAAATAAGAAGAATAAACAGAAAACGAAAGATTACATATTGTTGTTGTTGTTGGTGGTATATAGCGAAGTTTCTGTGATTATCATGGTACACCGATAATATATTGTGTCAGGTGAGTGAAAGGAAAGATGAGTGGGACTATAATGAATGTGATGAGGCTGGTAAGGGCGTCGCTACATTAATTAATATAACATTCAGTCCTGTTATAAACTAGCTTGGCCAATCGTCCATAAAATATTAAAAGATTTTCTTGCTTTTCTCTTTTTGTTTATTTTTATTAACGATACGTTCAGTTAAAGGTATGCACCGGTCGTTGCTCAGCGGATTACTTTAATTCAAGCCTGTCAAGTTCGGTTGATGAGTCGAATTCGCGATTTTCTATTTCATTCAGAATTTGGCCAATGGAAGAATGCAATTAATTGACCGAAACTGTCGCAATAAACACACCTTCAACAAAAGTGTCGTTAAATACGTAGGCCGTCGACGAGTTGCGAGGAGAAACAAGCTTGCGCGAGACACATGCATTATACAATAGCATTCTAGCTATGCAACGTCTATTTTTTTCATTCATTGCGTAAATGCTCAGCGCGAAACGAGAGCATTAACGATTTGTAATCTTTGCTAAACTACATGATTCGATTCATTATTCCGCTCGTAAATGTGCGTTGCAAGAGATCACTCGAGAGATGTTATTGTAGGTGTACACGATCTGAAGAAATATTGATCTTTGAAAAAATTTATAAAAGTTCGTACTCGCCGCGTGACTTTAATTGCTCGTGGAAGAACAAAGAAAAAAAATGACATTTATTTTTGAAGCTTCTGAAAATATCAGAGCGATGTATTACTCAAACAGGAAAATCGTTTGATACGATGGGGGATTACACCTTATTCGAATCGTTTGCAGATCATTTTCAACACGCACATGTTTGTTACAGTCAATTTTTTTTCACGTTTTCGAAACGTTATCATCGGCCTCATTTCATAAATCATATAACAAAATTAAGCTAGATAAGCTAGCAATTGCTAATAAAAAAAGGTGGAATATCGTTTCTCCTTGCACTCTCGAGCGTTATTAATAAAAAGACCAACTTCTCTCTTAATATATATATATAAGAGGATTTATTTTATATATACTATATATATATATATATATATATATATATATATATATATATATATATATATATATATATATATATATATAAAGTATATAAGAGGAAAGAAATTCCTCGTTAAATGATCCCTCACCTTTATCCTTGACACCGCCTCCTCAGCCTGGCACATTCTTGTTGTTTTGGTAGGTTGTCCCTCGCATGGCAATTGACACGAGCCAAGATATTTCGCGCGGAATAACACACCCTCGATCAGTACTGTTGGGTCGTCCAGCAGAGCTGCAATGGTCATCGAAACCTGCCACTTAGACTTATTGTTGTTCAATTCGCCAAACGCCGCAAGATAATCGCTTGAACACTGCACCCCACGAATCGATAGTTTGCTGTTTGTCGATGGAATCGAACGGATTATTATCATTTCATTGTGGATCTTTTCCATTACGGAGGCGAACTTTTTACTGCATTTTCGAGATTCGGAACAAGAAGTTTATCGATTTTGATAGCTTGATAACTCGAGTGTATCATTAATGAATGAAAAAGGTTACAGCGCGTTGCTCGCTTTATCGATTGTTTATTTGCACTAATTTTAACCCTCGATCTTATTTGATAATTACTCAAGTTTACTGCAAAGTCGACAAAGCATTCATGTTGCACTAATAACAATTATAATTAACAACTTTTTCTAATCCATCAAAAAACTCGACATTCTTAGCATTCTTCTTATGTCACTTGCTCACTGAATAATAAACTTCATCGGCCTCCGCAAAGGTGTTAAAAATATTGTGTTATCAGACGTCGACGGCAGCACGTGAGCGTCGTTCGCATCGTCAAATCAGACTATCAAAACGAGCGCAGTGTCGAAGGCGTATATCTCCCATTTTCGCGTACAGGCATTTGTATCTCTTGATCTCGTCGCATTGTACGTACCGTACGAGTTTGTGGAGCCAAAGAGAGGTGGAGGGGAGTAGAACCCAGGATGATGGCAATTTTGTTATTTTTTAAAGGATTAGAAAGAGAGATTTGTTTTATTAGTTTCGGTTATCGACTTTGTATATAGTAGCTTTTTTAACCGTCACCATGGTAGTGATGAAATTCTTTTTCTTGTGCTTCTTAGCGAATGCTAATGCTTTTTACATTATCGTTAAGATTATAATTTTGACAACTTTTTCAAGAGCTATTAGCGTTCTATAAATCTATATATCTTAGTAAGTTCTTTTTTTTCAACGACCACAACACTTGACGTCAGAGGAAACAATCAATTTTATGGACAATAGACTATTGTTATGCTGATATAGTACAATATTTTATAATCAATTAGAGCATATCGATTTTGATTAATGTAGATATTTCATTTTTGACAGTTTATCATCTTAACTTTTATATTTGTTATCAAATATTTCTCCGGAATTTTTTTAAGATAAGCAAGGTTATTCCAATCACCAAAGTTAGTTCCAGTTTTCGAAAACCTACATCGAGGGGGAAAAATCGAATAGTGGTATTCTTACCTTCCTTGTTTCGCTTCTTCTTTCCTTCCTTGTCCTGTAATCAGATAACACGTGATTTCATTGATGTGCCACGTGAATCGAAGCCTTTAAACAAGGTATACATGCGGTATTGCATAATATTCGCTCATGCAGAGAGCGTAGATATAAACGCGCTATTTAAATAGATGATGTCGATTAAAAAAAAGTCATGATCGATGAACTAGTATGCGGAAAATTAGTGTGATGAATAAAGTTCAGATCGCTGTTGGTACGGTGCGCACCTTGCAAAGTGTTAATTATGCGTAATCATTATGTCGCGCGTAACTTGTGAAAAAATTGAAAGCTTAAAAAAATATCTTGCTTTAGTTTTTGTCAACAGACAATTTTTCAAAGCGTTTACTTCACAAATAAACACACGGCAACAAATTTTGCCTTACAAACACTTTAGTGCAAAAAATGTTCGACCATCGCACATAAAAAGATATAGCAAAAAGATATACCAAAATGATTAGAAATAGAAAATATCGTGCAAACATACAGAAAAGAGAACAAAAAGCATGCGTGATTGATTTGTTGTCTGCGGAATCAGGGCAAGGAAGGTGCACCTTTTTCACCTTACTGACGGGCTCCTTGAGGCTTCTCGGTGAGGGAGGTGAATTTTTGACAACCGGCGTCGATGAGCTTTTTTGTTTTGGACTCGTCTCTTCGGTGACAACGTTGTCTTTTGTACAGACAACATCTTTAGGTGAATTCGATGTTGATGGTTCGGTTGTACTTAATGACTCATGACCACCAAGGGATAAGCTTGTAGGTTTCGCTGGCGTTGTAGGTTTCGTTGAGGGTTTTGAGTTGAGGGTCGTCGGGAGGAGCGTCCGGGTTTTCGGTTTGCGCCATCCCTGGTTTATTTACAGTGGTTTCTCTTATGAGGTACAAGGATCGGGTTTGTGATTGGTTTGTAAAGGACTTGCTTGAGTGTGCATTATCAAGTAACGGGCATTTAATTCTCGTTAGAAAGCAGTTTTCATACTCAAAACATACAAAAAGTTTATGTCTCTGAGGGAGAACTGATTGTTATTTGTATATTTCAACCTTACATCGTATAGTTTTGCTGCGAAGTTTTAATGGTTCGGTAATTCACTCGAATTTGCATTTTCCAAAATAACAATAAACATCATTTAGGTAATTAATCGTTGAAATAGATGTTCATCTCTAAATTTTTACTCTTTTAGTTACTCCTTTACAAAATGAATTTTTTTATTTAAAACGTTACTTAGTCATCACAAAATTAAAAAAAAAATTTGTCTTTAATCAAGCAAGTCCCTTGTTAGCATAGCAGTCCCAGCACCAATTAGTCACAAAGAAAACCTCACAAGGTTTGAGTATAGCCACATATACAACGCAATTGGATACGAACAGTGCTAATTTGGCTCTCACAACCGACACCAAAATATATATTCATTAAAGCTTTAGCTGAACACAAACCTTGTCATCGTAAAATCCTTGATCGTCAGTCCTCTGTTGTCCAAGCAATCGATCAGTTTCTAAATCTGTGTCAGCTTCCTCTTCGTCGGCAGCTTCCTCAGGTTCGGGTTCTTGCGTCGTCGTTGTTGTTGACGTTGCTGTCGCCGTTGTCGTAACTACCTCGAGACCAACGACTCCTGCTCGATTACTTGTACGCGTTGTCAAGGGCGGTGGCAGAGGTGCTGCTGGTTCTGAATCTTCGCTTGCACTTTCTATTGCAGCACTGGTTGTTGTCGTTGTCGTTGTCGTCGTCGGGCAGACTCGCCGCCTAGCATGCGACAGACTGTAAATTAGTTGGAGATGTTTGATTGACATATTTATTAAGTAAAACTTTTTGCTCAGTGCACACTCGTGTTAGAAAAGACTTTTCTTGTAAACTGAGTAAAAGGAGTATATTAAATTTTACATCTCTTCAATAATTAGTAAACTTCGTATCATGTCTGACAAAGCTATTTTACTTCTATTATAGAATAAGATATTTCCTAAAATTGCTAATAGTAGATCTCATATATGATATATATTAATTCTATAGAAAATAATTAGCTTGCTCACACACTACGCTGTGAAAATTATATAAGAAAAGTGAAATTTCTATGACTGCATAACGTACATTGAAAATTTAATCAATTATAAAAACAAACGTAATGATTTATACTATACTAGTTATTTATATAGCTTGAGAATCGAATAATTTTCTACATATTGACTATTTTAAATACTACGGTTTCATTATGAGATAAATTGAATTGCTGTGATTTATTGATATTATATCGCGTTAATATTATAAAAATAAGTTGTGTTTATTGTTCAAAATCTTATCGTTTTCATTCATACACAAATATCAACAACATAGAATTTCGCATACCTTGGTATCCAAATAGGACTGACACTAGGTTCAGCTGGGTCTTCCGACGGTGACTTGACAGGCAAAGTTTTTGTCCGTTGCAGAGCCATCCTAATATCTTTGATCGCCGCTTCGACTTCACCAGAAGACTGCTCACTCTGACGACTTTGTGGTGCTGGTGGCGGTGGAGTACCCAAAGAATCCAGTCCGTCCAATTGTAATTCACTGGTCGTGTCGTACGAGTTTTCTTTTTTCGTAATGAATAGTTCGGGTGACGCTGTAAACATCGTAACATTAATTTCGAGCAATGTGATTATGCGAATGTGTATTTGATTTTTCATCAATTTCTCGTGTGCAGTTATATTTTTGAGTAAAACATTTGAAAAGGATTATTTGAGCGAGCTCAAAAAGGTTTGCAATCCGATAAAAGAAAATCTGATTCGGTCT